TTACTATGTGCTCTGCCTACATGCTTTACTAAAAGCAATTGTATGACCAAGCTGAATAAAAACAGGCAAGACTAGGACTCGTCGTTCCTCTCCCAAAAGAAGTTCCACCTGGCCCCCATGCGTAAAACTTATTTCTTGAATAGTGTCTACATTGTGCATTGGCCCTCCTGCAGTCCCTCCTAAACCCACTGTGCAGGTCATGGCAAGTGGCGCCTGAACAGGTACTTGAGAAGGTTCGCCTGAGGGGGACGAAGTGAAGTGGAAGTTCACTGAACGCACAAGCCTGTGCCAGCTGTGGAGTCGCAACCGTAAGTGAATGGGGACTTTTCTGAAATTAGCCAGGCCATTATGGGGCAGAATTCGAGTAAAGGGGAAAAACATTATTGTAGACTGTTGGCTTGCATGCTCAAGGAAAAGGGAATTAAGGTGTCAGAAGGTACTGTCTTAGTTTTTGCATATCATCATAGAACATAATCCCCGGTTTCCTGATGAGGGCATGTTAGATGTAGAGTGTTGGGAAAGAGTAGGACAGAACTTGAAGGGAGCTCATCAGCAGGGGAAAAACTTGCCCCCAAATTGTTTCTCCTTGTGGAGCATGGTATTGCACTTGCTGGAACCTTTTAGAGAGGCAAAGGAGGCTGGACCTCTCCCCTTACACCCTCCGCTCCTACAGAGGAGCAGAAAGAAAAATTGGAGGAATGGCTTTCATGTTCTCCTCCACCTCTGTGTCCTGATCCTGAAATATTGATTCACCGCTAATAGAATCAGCTGTTCAAAAAGCTATCCGGGAGGGATTAAGGGACATGACAGTGGAGGAGAGACTTGCTTTTCCTGTTATAGAGGTAGCTAACCCACATAATTCAAATTAAATACTAAGACAGCATGACAAATTTGACTTTAAAATGATAAAGGCTTTGCTTGAAAGCATAGTACAAAATGGTCCTACAGCTCCCTTTACTGGAGAAATCATGACTAACATTCCTGATGCATTCCTGCCTCCTTTCGATTGGTACGCTTTGGCTCATGCAGCCCAAGATGGAGGGGACTACTTGCTATGGAAGGGAGAATTTTTAGAGAGATGTCAAGAGCAGGCTCGTACCAATCGAGGGCAGAATGTCCAAATAACTTTTGAAATGTTAGCAGGACCAGGACAATACAGTGACTTGCAAAATCAGCGAGGGTATGTGCAACAAGCTTATGAGCAGATTAAACTTTGTGGAAGAAAGGCCTGGTGGGCTTTACCAGCTAAAGGGGATCCTGAGGGAGCTTTTATTAAGTGTATGCAGGGACCTACGGAATCATTTTCTGATTTTGTGGCTCGCCTTACTCGAGTAGTGAGACGGCAAATACAGCATGTAATAGCAAGAGACATCTTGATTCGGCAATTAGCATATGAAAATGCCAATGCTGATTGTAAAAAATGTCTGACACCTCTAAGAAAAAGTGGTACCATTACAGAAATGATTCAAGCATGTCAGGATGTAGAATCAAGCACTTTTCATGCAAACTTACTAGCTGCCGCTGTAACAGTGGGGAGTAAAAAATGTTTTAATCGTGGGAAGCCAGGACACTTCCAAAAGGAACGTAGGCAGCCAGAAAGGACTCAGGGTGGCAGACAACAGAGGAAAGGCGTGAGCATTCCACCTCCCGCTTGGAACAAGGCAGCTGCACCTCCTTGTGTCCTAATGTCAGAAAGAAAATCACTGGGCTAATCAATGTAGATCTGATTTTCATAGAAATGGGCAGCCCTTAAATCAGGGCATAGGGCGTGGCCAGCTCAGGGAAATGGCCAAAGGGGCTTTCCCCAGCCCCGTCAACAACAGGTGGCTTACGCCCTGCAAGGCCCACAGTGAATTCCCTCATCCAAGCCACTCCAGGGAATGCAGACCTTAATCTCACCAATACAGTAGCAGTCACTCGGATCCCTGACATAGCTCGGCAAGCTGTTCCTATGGGAATTGGGGGCCTTTACCACCAGGTACGTTAGGACTAGTCTTAGGAAGAAATGGAAACACTGAAAGGACTGTTTTGCCTGGAGTCATAAATTCATATTATAAGGGAAAAATCAAGGTAATACTAGAATGCAAACAGATTATGCAAGTTACCCCAGGACAAAGAATTGCTAAGCTCCTACTCATACCTTGTATTCAGCAAGGTAAAGCTATAAATAGAAAAAGAGGAACACAAAATTTGGAAGCTCAAATATCTATTAAATACATGTAATTAGTAAAACCCATCCTATAATTAACTTAAAAATAAAGGAAAAACTAAGGGTTTAGTAGACACTGAAGCTAATGTCAGTGTTATTAGTAAAGAATTCTGGCTTCCAAATTGGTCTATAGTAGAAACTATGGGGTCTATTACAGGGGTCATAATTCCTGATAATACTCAACGTAGTACTGCAGTGTTAAAATGGCAAAATAAGAAAGGATAAACAGAATGGTTTCAGCCCTATATAGTCTCTGGAATTTCAGTCAACTTATGGGGCCAGATGTTTTGGAGGGTTTATAAGCGTGTATTGTTACCGGCAAGGGATAGCAGTTAATAACTCAGATGGAATATCAAGCTGGTCAAGGTTTAGGGAAAAATAATCAGGGGATTAGAAAACCCATTCAAGCCAAAGGGAACCCAGGAAGACAAGAAGTAGAATATCAACCTTTTTAGGAATGGCCATTAATCAATCTCCTCACCCTCATGCTAATCCTATATAATGAAAAGATAATAAACCTATATGAATAGATCAATGGCCGTTAACCAAGAAAAAACCAGGGTGTGTTCATGAATTAATACAGGAACAACTGAAGGCTGGCCACATAGAGCCTACCAATAGTCCTTGGAATACTCCTATAGTGACAATATCTAAGAAGGCGACGGGAAAGTGGCGGTTGTTCCATGTTCTTAAAGCAGTTAACACTACTATACACACCACAGGAGCTTTACAGCCTGGACTCCCAGCGCCTTCACAAATACCTCTAAATTGGTCTCTTATATAGTAGTAATCTCAAGAATTATTTTTTCACCATTCCCTTGGCACCTCAAGATAAACAAAAATATGCCTTTTCAGTACCATGCATTAACAATGTAAAGCCTATGAAAAAATATCAATGGAAAGTTTTGTCTCAAGGCATGGCCAATAGCCCCACTTTGTGTCAAAAATAGTTGCTCAAGCTATTCAACCATTAAAAGGCAAATATCCCCAGCATTACATTATCCATTACATGGACGACTTGCTCTTGGCAAGCCCACAGGAAAAGCAGACTTAGCAATGTTTACCCAATTAAAGCAGCAGTCACCAACCGGTGGTTCGTGAGGTCCGAAAGGTTGGCGACCACTGAATTAAAGAAAAAGATTCTCTAAATAGGGCTTAAAAATTGCTCCAGAAAAGGTACAAAGAGAAACGCCCTTCAAATACTTAGGAACCATAATTAAAAACCAATGTGTTAAGCCTCAAAAGGTAGAAATACAAAAAAATTGCCTTAAAACCCTGAATGACTTTCAGAAATTATTAGGGGACATTAATTGGTTAAGACCTTATCTAAAAATCTCTACAGAAACAATGACAAATTTACTCAATATACTTAGGGGTGACTGTGATCTTTCCTCGCTTCAAATGTTGACAGATAAAGCTAGGGAGTAGTTACTAAAAATTAAACAGGCAATATCCTCAGCCCAAGGAGCACAGGTACAGCCTAAGTTGCCTGTGTTAGGACAGATTAATCCTACTATAAACAGTCCCACTTGGGTCATCTTCCAAAATAAAGACTCTCCTGCTATTATTAAGTAAATTCACCTAGGGCAGTGGTCGGCAAACTGCGGCTCGGCAAACCGCGGCTCGCGAGCCACATGTGGCTCTTTGGCCCCTTCAGTGTGGCTCTTCCACAAATTACCGGCTCTTCCACAAAATACCGACTTCTGCGCATGGGCCACGAAGTTTCAATCACACTGTATGTGGTATTTTTTGGAAGAGGCACACTGAAGGGGCCAAAGAGCCGCATGTGCCTCGTGAGCCGTGGTTTGCCGACCACAGACCTAGGGCATCAAACCTCTAAAACTGTGGTTACATATATAGAACTCATGGCTCAATTAAGACCTCAACTCAAAAAGCACTGCAGGCAGCTTAAAGAAGAAAAGCCCCAGTACATTTATCCTCCCCTTACTGGGAAGCAGTTAGAAACCTTATTTCAGACTGATTTAAATTGGCAAATTGGAATAAGTGAATATTTGGGGGAACTTAGTTGTCATCTACTGAAAGACAAATTACTACAATTTTTATATTACATCCCTATTATTATACCAAAAAATACTAGACAGGAACCTATTCCTGAAGCATTAACTATTTTTACTGATGGTTCCTCTAATGGTAAAGCTGCTTATCATACAAAAAAGTCAGACCAAGTCATCCACACTAGTCACACTTCTGTACAAAGAATTGAATTAAAGGCTATCAAGGCTGCATTGCAAAATTTCCAGAAGCCTCTCAATATTTCTAATTCTGCCTATGCTGTTGGCCTGGTAAACAAAATTGAAAATACTCGATTAAAGTCTATACTATTTAAACAGTACAGCAAATTGTACAGCAAAGACAATATCCCTTTTATATTACTCACTAGAGGCCTGGTGCATGAAAATTTGTGCACTTGGGGGAGAGCGGGTCCCTTAGTCCTGCCTGCGCCCTCTTGCAGTTCACGACCCTTCGGGGGATGTCCACCTGCTGGCTTAGGCCTGCTCCCTGGGGGATTGGGCCTAAGCTGGCAGTCAGACATCCCTCTGGCAGCCCAGGAGCCCTTGGGGGATGTCTGACTAACGGCTTAGGGAGCGGGCCTAAGCCGTTAGTTGGACATCCTTAGGGCTGCTGAGGAGGCAGGAGATGCTGCACTGGCCAATCATGAGCTGGCTTCTGCCTGAGCAGCACTCCCCCTGTGGGAGTGCACTGACCACCAGGGGGCAGCTCCTGTGTTGAGCATCTGCCCCCTGGTGGTCAGTGCACATCACAGTGACCGGTCGTTCTGCCGTTAGGGTCAATTTGCATATTGCCCTCTTATTAAACGTTATATCAGGGCTCATATCACCCTGCCTGGTCAATTAACAAAAGAAAATGCATATGCCAATCAGTTAGTCATTTCATTACAGCAAGCCACAAAATCTCATCAGCTTTTACATCAGCCTGCCAAAATATTATCTAAATAATTCTCAATCACTCGACAGCAGGATAAACAAATTATCAAGGAATGTCCCACTTGTATGTTACATCTGCCTCAAGGGCCCAATACAGAAATTAACCCTCAAGAATTGAAAAGGGAACATATCTGGCACATGAATGTAATGCATTATACTCCTTTTGGATGTCTTGGGGCATTGCATGTCTCTATAGAAACCTTTTCAAAGGTCCTTTGGGCCACCACATCTACAGGGAAAATGGCAAAACAAATCATTAATCATTGCCTAACTTCTTTTGCTGTCATGGGAATTCCAAAAATTATTAAAACTGACAATGGACCTGCATACACGAGCTGTCATTTCTTGCAATTTTATACAAAATGAAAAATTCAACGCATTACAGAAATACCATACAACTCCCAAGAACAGGCAATTATAGAACACCAACATCAGTGGCTAAAATCCCAACTTGAAAAACAAAAAGGGGAAATACTAGAGAAATCTCCTGTAGGTAGACTACACCAAACCTTAATTACCTTAAATTTTTTCACTTGTAATGTTGATGGTAAGACTCCAATGAAGCAACACTGGTGTGATGAGCCAAAGGAAAAAGGCTTGGTCAGGTGGAAGGATCCTGAGTCTGATTTATGGAAGGGTCCCGACCCTTTATTAACATTTGGTCGAGAATATGCTTGTGTATTTCCAGGAAACTCCTCCAAGCCTGTGTGGATTCCTGCAAGGAACATCAAACTTCAACATGGATCCACGGGAGGAACTGACCAAAATATTGAAGACCTTGCACCCGGAACCTCAACCTGTACCTCCTCAACCTGTACCTCCTCAACCTGTACCACCTCAACCTGTACCACCTCAATCTGTACCTGTGGCCGCAGACAATCAAACACCCTACCCCAAGGTAGTACTAACCCCAAGCCTCGTGCAGAGGCTAAGGAATACGAGGCGAACGAAGCAGACAAGAAACAGTTTGGAAATGACATGGGGGATGGTGAAGAAGACAATTCAGAAAGCTGAGCAAGTTTGTGAAGATACAAGAATCCCGAGAACACCTGAGAATGTTTTCCTTGCCACGCTAGCAGTCATCAGTTGTGCGGTAATACTACTAGGGGTACATGGGGAATTGTATTAGACTTATGTTCCTGACCCTCCATGGATGAGACCCCTTACTTGGGCTGATCTCCCGCCTAGTATAGTCACCAATAATATCAAGCACCTTGTTCATCCCAGGGGACCACAGATAGGACAAGGAAGTATCTGGGCAAACTATAATTATAAGGGTGTCACCACACAGCTTCCCTTTTGTATGACAAAGAATCAAACTACTGCACCTTTGTGTGTAGAATTAAAGAGAGGTCTTTGGTTAGCATGAACACCAAAGGAAGTGGGGGAGGGGGGGGCAAAAGCCCACATACATCTACTATCCCTGGTTGCCCCAGAAGAGGTACAGAAAATGTAACATTACTAAGATATCCCCCCGCTAAGCCATTATGTAAAAATTTTTATAAATGGTACCCCACAGGGGAAGAAATTAATTGGCAGGACTGTTATAGTGCCTACCCCACCAACAGCAATCTTAATAATAGTTTTTCCTTTGTGAATTGGTGTCCCCATGGGTCTGCAAATAGTAGCAATCACACCTTAAAATGGAAAGGGACTGTGTCCTACCTGTATGTTGAATCTAATCACTCCACCTCGTGGCATGGAGGAGGATTTGTTGGATCTCAATTACAACATGATCACTGGCCCCTACAAAACACATAATGGAAATTAGCTGCTGCACTTGCACCTATAGAATGGTACAGTTATCACTCTAGCTTAAATAACTCTACTCATACTTACATCTTATGGGGAACGCCAAATAAGACAGTATTTGCCATCACTTGTGTATTTGATCTTCTTGTACTCCTCTCGGGCCCCATCCAGGTGTGCCTTAATGCAAGTTAATTGTATAAGGCCGCGGTCGGCAAGCCGTGGCTCGAGAGCCACATGCGGCACTTTGGCCCCTTCAGTGTGGCTCTTCCACAAAATACCACGTGCAGGTGCGCATGTACAGTGCGATTGAAACTTCGTGGCCCATGCGCAGAAGTCGGTATTTTGTGGAAGAGCCACAGTGAAGGGGCCAAAGAGCCACATGTGGCTCGCGAGCTGTGGTTTGCCGAGCCGCAGTTTGCCGACCACTGGTATAAGGTATCATGCACAGGCTGCACACTATCCCATTGTGTTAATTCCACCTATCAAAAGGATTCCCTCATGATATTAAGACAACCTGCTTTCGCTTGGGTTCCTACTAACCTAACCAAGCCTTGGGGATCTCATCAAACCTATCAACGGTTACATGACCTAGTAAAAACCTTAAAATGACAAAAAAAATTCCTTGGCAGGTTAATTGCAGGACTCTTTGCTCTAGTATTACTTACTTACTTCTGTGGGAATTGCTGCTTCATCCATGGTACAAACTGTTCAAACTTTTCATTAACAACAAGTTAAGAAAAATGTAACCAAGACCTTGTCCATACAAAAAAGAATTGACAGTCAATTTGAAATAGAATTATCGGCACTAAAATCTACAGTTCTATGAATGAGTGATAAAATCCACAGCTAAGAGCAAAGAATGTCCCTACAGTATCATCATAATTTTTCCCAGATTTGTGTGACCCCCGTTCCCTATAACAGCACCTTACACCCTTGGGAATCAGTAAAAAAATCACCTTCTTGGTACTTAGGGTAAAGGTAACACAACCCTTGATATTTTAGAATTACAACAACAAATTGCACAATTATCCCCGGCAAACTTACAAACTAGTTTCTTAGATGCCTGGCAACAATTTAAAATGGACATGGAAAAATACAATCCTTTTCATTGGATCTCCCTACATGTACCTTTTAGCATAACCACTATTGTCTTTCTTATTCTTGGTTTGTGTGTTTATTTTTAGGCTGCAAATGTGAATGAAAAGTCTCAAAAAGACTTAAGCCCTACAGACGGCATACACTTTCCAAGGTTTATTAAGAAAACAAAGGGAGATGCCAGAGACGACCGCATAGCAGCACTGGCATGAAAGTGCAACAAGGAACTTGGAAGCCCATGATCCTTGGGCGTAGCAGGGCTGATGCCAGCACAGATTGCTCTTGCTGAGATTGCGGGGTCTGGAAGCATTCCCTGACCTGATAGTCTTTGAGTAAATGTCTACTGGTCTCTACCGACCTTCGATACTACCTGCTTACTATGTGCTCTGCCTACATGCTTTACTAAAAGCAATTGTATGACCAAGCTGAATAAAAACAGGCAAGACTAGGACTCGTCGTTCCTCTCCCAAAAGAAGTTCCACCTGGCCCCCATGCGTAAAACTTATTTCTTGAAAAGTGTCTTCATTGTGCATTGGCCCTCCTGCAGTCCCTCCTGAACGCGCAGTGCAGATCGTGGCAAGGATTGTTGACAGGATTCTGCCAGGAGCATTTGTGTGTATGTGAAAGTGCTTTGAAAACTGTACACATGAGGGCTTTAATGCAGGGTGGAAAGGAAAGGGTTCAGTTGCTGCCAGGCTGCACTGGGCCCCTAGAATGTGATAGGGAAGGCCAGAAGACCTGTCTGGCAGCCCCTGCTTTGTTGGCCTCAGGGCATTTCTGAGGGTGCCCTATGCCAGATGCAGTTTATGGCTTTGTTCACAGGGCTTATTGTGGAGCAGCTACTTCCTGGCTTGGTGTCCAGCCTGTTCTTTGGGTGTGCCTAGACTTTGCACAGTCCCCACCCCCTTTTCTGTCGTACCCTGGAATCTTGTTCCCTATTGCTTAAGGAAAGAATGCTGTAGCAGGAGCAGTGGGAGTCTTCGGGTTTGGGTGTGGGTGGGGAGTGATCTAGCTCCGCCTCTACCTTCAACTCATCGTATATAATAAAAGCCTAATATGCAAATCGACTGAATGGTGGAACTATCAGTTGCTATGATGCGTGCTGACCACCAGGGGGCAGACGCTCGACGAAGGAGCTGCCCAGCCCGCAGGCCCCAGGCCAGCTAAGGCAGGTGCCAGTGGGGGCCCCCCCCCATCACCCCGCTGGTAATCCTGCAGAGGAAGGCGACCTGTGGCAGTGGTGGGGGGTGGAGCTGGTGAGCAGGCGGCGCCAGACTGGCCAAGGTCAGTGCCAACGGGCCTCCCCCCCCCGCCCCATCGCCCTGCTGGTTGCCCTACAGATTGGCCCTGATCACCGGCCAGGCCTAGGGAACCCTACCTGTGCACAATTTTGTGCACCGGGCCTCTAGTAGTGTGATATGAACAAGTCCCTTCCCCAGTTTTGGCTGAAGAGGTTACTAGTAAATTGGGTGACCATGCCTCTCCAACTCTCTTGGGAATCATTTTCATTTTTAAGTCTCAGCTCAAATGCTGCTTTCTTAGGGAAACCCTCCTTGATTTCACCATCTCATTTGTGATCCATGGCACATGACTTATGCGTCCATTTTAAACACCTATTTCCTTATGTGGGTTCATTAGGTGTTAGGTGTTACGGAGAGGATTTCCATGCCTCTCCTGTTAACTGTGAGCTCCTTCAGAACTTGTCACTCTCCTTTATATCTCTGCCTGAGTTTACTGCACAGGGCTTTTCTGATGATGATAATAATTTAATAATGATTTATTGATCATTTTCTTTATGCCCAACACTGTTGTTAGAACTTTTTTTTCTTATGTTAATGGTTTTCAGACTGGTACCTTGCTCTTCTTACAGGCCTCCTCAGAAACTGGAGAACAAGCGCCTGGAGCCCTTCCGAGTAGCTGCTACCCTGGTGGAGGGCAATATGGCAGCGGGGTACCCCCTGGTGGTGGTTATGGAGGAGCTCCTGCCCCTGGAGGGCCTTATGGATACCCCAACCCTGGGGGCCTCCCCTCTGGAGCTCCAGGAGGACCCTGTGGTGGTGCAGCCTCAGGGACCCCCTATGGTCAGCCACCTCCAAATCCCTACGGTGCCCCGCCTCCTGCGCCTTATGGACAGGGACCTCCTCCAGGTAAGTAGGGATTTGGGGCTCTAGATGCCTCTGACCTTGTTCTCAGTTACCTAGGGCCCATCCTTGTCCTTCCTGTGGATGTGCAGGCAGCCCAGCATCTTGCTTCTAGCTTCAGCATGCATCAGCGGAATAGAAGTGTTTTAGTCAGCTTTGCTGTGGAACAACAACTCTGGCTACAACAGCAAACATTGCTTTCTGTTGCTTGCTCACACTCATTTACTCTTGCTTACATGTCAGCAGCTATAGGTTTGGCTGCTGAGATTCTGCCCCACGTGTCTTTTCTTTCCAGGCTCCAGGCTGGAGGAACAGCCGTTATTTGAGACTTGTTCTTGTTGCAGATAAAAAAGAGCAGGAGAGTCAGCAGGAATGCGTACTACCTCTTAAAGTCTCTGCTTTCAAGTACTTTATATCTCCCACTCCCGTTCTCTTGGCCAAACCACACCCCCTGGTCCAGCCTCTTACCAATAAGATGGGAGTGGATACTCCTCATGGAGGGGCTCTGCAAGCCACCAGGCAGTGGCAAGGATGGACAGTGTTCTTACAGGGGAGGCGGTGGGGGCAGGGCATAGGTGAGCAAATAATTGGAGATAATACAGCCTATCATGGGGAGAAGCCCCATTTCTGTGGGAGACTGACTGCTATATGCAGAAAGGCAAGGAGTGTAGCTGTTGAACGCTTGGGTTTTTGAGATCAGACAACCTACTGACCTGACCAGATTATTTTACCTCTTTAAGCGTTAGTGTTGACATCTGTAAAATGGGCGAGTGTCCCTCACAACATTGTTAATAAGGATAAAATAAGAATGTGCAGGTAAACATGAGCACAGTGTCTGGCATATGGGAAGGGCTTAATAAGCAATATTCTCTGAGAGAACTTGTACGGAGACATTCTTAGCAAAGAGGTGTCAGCATTTAATGTGATAGCAGATATGGCAAGGGCCTTACCACTGACAGATGCTGAGGCAGGCAGATGGTGGGATGAGTTAGGGGAAGGATAAAGAGCAGAGATACTAGAGGTGAGGTACCGGACAACATGGGGAGGGAAAGGGGCCTTGGCTATTCAGTGGAGGCAGAGAATCTTGGGTGAGGGTTTTGGGCTCAGTGAAGGTTTCTGAGTGGTCTCAGGGGCCAGGGGAGGTGAATTCCCAGTCCCTGGTTTCCTCCCACACTCATAGCCTCTTCACCATATGCTGTTCCCAGGAGACCAAGCCAGCAGCAAGGCAGCCTGGAACCCGTCTGGTGCACCTGAAGGGCCTCCTGGGAATGGCATTGCTGGGAAGCTGCAGCATCTTAACAGATGTACCCAGGCAGGAGCCTCTGAGGGCGATGTTCAGACCATGGGGTTCTAAACACTGAGCTGTGGCGTTTAACTTGGCAGAGCCCAGAGCTTCTGGCCATTTGCTTTTAGCTCAGCAGCTTCATGGTGGATTTCCTCATCCTTTCAAAATCTTGTCTCTGAGCCTACATGAGGTCATTGTAGGGAAACCTTATATTGGAGGCTTATCCCTCCAGGGCCTGAGACCAGAGATAATCTCTGGGGCTGCAGAAGAAAGGAAAGATGTGCCTTAGGCTCTTAGCTGCTCTCTCTGCAACTCTTCACCCATCTGGCCACCCACCATTGCCTCCTCTGCAGTGCGGCTAGTGGCTCCTGGAGCAGTGCTCTAAAGTGCGATCCATATATCACCTGCAAAAAGAATGGGACTCCACCGGAAGCCCCACCTCAGCCCCACTGAGTCCGGGATCTAAGGTTGGAGCACCACTGCTCTGTAAGACAGGGTTGGCCAGTAAAGGTGCCCCACCACCCACTGGAAATACCCGGATGGCACTCCAAACCCAAAGGGCCTTTCCAGCCTCCTCACCTGAATTGCTTCTCCCTCCCATCAACCCAGGACCCCTCGGAGTACTCTGAACGTACTCTGTGCCTCTGTGTCTTTTCAGCTCTGTCATCCTTTCAGATCCAGTTTACTGAGTATTCCTTTCTCCGTGGAAATGGGACTGCACACATTCCAGGCCTTTTGCTACATCTTTCTTTTGCTGTTATCTGGTTTTACCATCACAACCACCTCGGGAAGTAGGTCTGAAAAAAGGAAACAATTAGTCTGAAGTCGCACACACTAGTAAAAAACAAAAACAAAAAAACGGTCAGAGCTCTTTGCTTTCAGAGCCCGGGCCCGTCTATGCAAACTGCAGGGACCACCTGTTACAGAGACTGTCCCTCTGGGGGCTGTGGCCCTCACTCCCCATGGCAAAGCTGCTGTTTTAGGAAGGATGGTGGGGCTGCCTAGTTTCCCATTCAAGGAAGCTAGATAGTCCCTCTGTCAGGCAAACCTGGCCTCATCTTTGGGACTGGGTGGTGGTTTCTGTGCTCCAGTAGGGCCCGTGGCTGTCTCTGATACCGCCTGGGCAAAGGGGCCCTTTTTGTGGCCAGTTAAGTCATTAGGTTTAGCAGTACTGTATCATTCTGGCCTTTCCTAAGATAGTCTTCTGTGCTTCTCCACTTTCATCTATCATCCTTTCCCCTACTCTCCAGCTCACTCCACTTGTCTCTTCAAGTGAGTGATCCTTTCCTCCATCTACTGACAGACACACAAAGCTACTTACGGTACATACTCCCAGCAGACACACAGCAACACTAACAATCTGCAGTCACATAGTGCTTAGCTTGTAGCAGGTGCTGATTTAAGGGTTTTCATATAATTATATCTTCATAATTTATGAAGTAAATGCTACTGTGGCCTCATTTTACAGATAAGAAAACTGCTACACAGAGAATTTAAATAACCAGGGGCTATAAAATGGGGGCTGGGGCCTGAGACTCTGAGGGGTCTTGGGTTGACGGAAGGAAGGAAGAAGCAATTCAGGTGAGGAGGTTGGAAAGGCCTTTGGGTCTGGAATGCTGTTACACTGAGGCCAACTCGGCATGAATTGAGCACTTTACCTTTCTGTGCCTGCCTCTGTGCCTGCCCCTGGGGATTCAGATGAGTTAGGCTCCTGCCCAGAGGTTGCTCCAAGTCTAACCAGGAAGGTGGTTTAAAAACATGTACACAGTGGAGTGAGCAGGGCCATAAAAGAGAAGGAGTAGGTCCCCTTAGATCTTTGTGGATAAGAGAACCCCTAGACAGGGAGGCACTTAGACTGGCTCTCACCCGCATTTCTGCGGATTGGCCTCGAGACCTTCGTTTGACTCCCTGGATTGCACCCCTTCCTGCAGGTGGCGCCCCCCCCAATGTGGATCCTGAGGCGTACTCCTGGTTCCAGTCAGTGGACTCCGATCACAGTGGCTACATCTCTGTCAAGGAGCTGAAGCAGGCCCTGGTCAACTCCAACTGGTCCGCGTTCAATGACGAGACATGCCTCATGATGATAAGTGAGTACCAGCCCTTCCCTGTGGGCTCAGGCTCGGGGCAGAGCCACCCGATGTCTGACAGTGGGTGGGTGACCATTCTCAGAAAAATCGTTTAGCCAGGGGGGATTTCAGACAGGAAACTGGGTTCAAGGAGCGATCTCCTAGACTGAGAGCTCTTCCCCTGAGATCTTTTCTCGAGTCCTAGGCCCTGCTGAGTCACAGGCTCACTCCATTTCCCATTCTTCAGAATGGGATCCATGCCTGGTAGGAGATGGCAGGGAGGGGTCATCTGCCAAGCCTGCAGAGAGAATGCAGTTCTGGAAGGGTGGCCAGGGTGGGGGGCTGCTGTGGCACCTGATGAAGGTAAGTCGTGGGTAGAGGCATCTGGGCCTTGGGCCTGTGGTTCTGTGGAGTCTCCTACTCCATCCAGCCTGAGGAGAAGGGCTGCCTGAGGACCCCTGGCCCTCAGCCCTGAAGCCTTCCTTCCCTCTTTCCCCGTCTCCCCAAGACATGTTTGATAAGACCAAGGCAGGCCGCATTGACGTCCACGGCTTCTCAGCCCTGTGGAAGTTCATCCAGCACTGGAAGAACCTCTTCCAGCAGTACGACCGAGACCACTCGGGCTCCATCAGCTACACAGAGCTGCAGCAAGGTGAGTGCCATGTTCTCTTCACTCCCTAAGCAGAGCAGGGCCTTTTCTCTAGCCTCTGACTGCCAATGTCCACTGCCCTGCTAAATGTAGCCCTCAGCACAGACTTACTCCTCCCCTTCTGTGGCCTGGCTGCGGCTTTGAGCCAAGACCCAGGGCACGGGAACAGCTGGGTCCGGGGTCAGGGCTGGACTCCGGATGATGGCACTCCCGGCAGTGCCAGGTGAGACAGGCCCGGCCTACAGAGCCTTGGGGATGGAAATGTAGTAGCCCAGGGTCCTGTGAAACCAGGATGTGTGGTGTGTGTGGCTCTCTCTGCTCTCGTCTCTAGTATGCAGAATGGGGCCTCGGAAAGATGGCTTCTCAGACCACTCTAAATGCTGCAGTTGGGTAAGATGACCAGCGGCCACAGTTCCAGGTCTGGTTCCAGTTCTGACTCTAGAGCAGCGGTCGCCAGCTGGTGGTCTGTGAGGTCTGAAAGGTTGGCGGCCGCTGCTGTAGAGGAAGGGTGTTAGTGGTCTGATGAGAACCTGACAGGCAGCTTTGCCACCTGAGAGGGGGAAAGCGATCCCCAGAGAACCCAGCCCCTTGCCCTGGCTGTGGATTTCAGTCCTACTAAGGAGTTCTGTGGTGGGGAGGGGAGGTGCTCACCATATCTGCACCCTGGCAGAAGGGAGAGGAGATGGCCTGCACTGATCACCTACTGTTTTGCAGAGTAAATATTGGTAAGGTTGATGTTATCACAGCCAAACTAGTAGTTATTGAATGAATATTGGCTAAGCACTGTAATATGTACTTTCAACATGTTACATTATTCATTCTCCTCATGTGCTAGGTACTGTTTATTATCTCTCTCTCTCCCCGCCCCCCCCACCACCACCCCTTAGATGAAGGGTCCCTTTTGATTATCCTTTTATGGATGAGAAAACTGAGGCATGGTGTAGGCAGCATACTCGGGCCACATAGCCAAAGGAGAGGTGAGACTAGCCTGGGGCAGTAGGTTATGCAGAGAGGAAGGAAGGAAGGAAGGAAGGAAGCCTCCCAGGCGGAGGGACATGGGCAGCGGCACGTAGGCTGTGACCTTGGGACTGCCCACAGCCTTGCCTGGTTGGATGATGATGTTCTTATTTGTCACAACACTTACTGAGCGTCTGTTATGTGTCAGGCACTGTGCCAGGTGCTTTACATGATCTCCTTTCATCCTTACTGAAACTGACAGGTAAGTATTGTTCCCATTTGGAGATGGTAAGTCAGAGGACTAGCAAGGTTAAGTAACTTGCCGAGGGGCTGTTTTGACTCCCGAGCAGGTCCTCGGGACCCCTGTGCTGTGCTGCCTCTGCTGGCCGCGCCGGTCAAGTCGTCCTAGGGGCTCAGACTTCCTTCTGTAATGCGGACGAGTCAGAGCTGAGCGTGGGTGGCCTGGTGTCATTCTGGGGCCCCAGGAGCCCCTGACTGACAGATCGTAATGGAGATTAAGAGAAAGGGACGAGGCCTTCCAGCGAAGGGAGCATCCAGGCAGAGCCCCTGTTGTGCTGCTGCCATCCTGGACAGACCCTTGGGACTTCTGTCCTCTTCCTCCTTCGGTGCTTGATCCCTCAAAGTCCCCTGAAGTGCTGTGCTCTGTGGAGCTGGCCGATGGCAGTGCTCACGATGGGTTTTTGTGTCTGCTCTGTGTGCCCCTCCTCTCCAGCTCTGTCCCAAATGGGCTACAACTTGAGCCCCCAGTTCAGCCAGCTCCTGGTCTCCCGCTACTGCCCGCGCTCCGCCAGCCCCGCCATGCAGCTAGACCGCTTCATCCAGGTGTGCACCCAGCTGCAGGTGCTGACCGAGGCCTTCCGGGAGAAGGACACAGCTATGCAGGGCAACGTTCGGCTCAGCTTCGAGGACTTCGTCACCATGACCGCTTCTCGGATGCTCTGACCCAGCCCATCCGTAGAGAGTGGCGTGCACTGGGGCACCTCTCCTGGCTCTTTGGAGTGGGAGAAGCATGTGGGCCGCTCTCCTTTTCCTGCTCCTCCTGATACAAGCGCTGTTCGCCGAGAGGGCCGGGACCCCTGTGTCATAGCCACCAAAGAGAGGGGTCCTGGGCTTGACGTAGGAGAGGACTGGAAGTTACAGATCCTTTCAGCCCTGAGCATGTAAGTGGCACAGCCTTGCAGCAGGAGCCGGAGATGCCAGTCATTGTGATCGGCTGAGCTCCAGCCTCTATCTTTCCCTTCTGTGCCCCGACATAAGTGTTCATCAGCATTTCACCATGAGCACCTGTGTCCCCGAACCCGCTCAGTCCTATCAAATGAAGCCAGTTTCTCCAAAGTGGAATCTGACCAAGCGTGAAAAAGATGTGCCCAAGGGACCAGGGGCTTG